GTAGGGCGGAGGGGTGTCCCTGGCGCTGCTCTCCAGGGACGACAAGAACCACTGCAGCGCCGCGACCAACCCGAAGGACAACAGGCCTGCGCATGGAAAGGGCAGTGTTATTGCCACTGTTTTAGTTTTATGTGTTGTTATTGTCCTCATTAGCATTACTGTTTTTATGATTACGTTTTCAGTATATATATATATATATATATATATATATATATATATATATATATATATATATATATATATATTATATATATATGTATATCTATGTATCTATCTATCTGTCTATATATATATATATATATATATATATATATATATATATATATATAGAGAGAGAGAGAGAGAGAGAGAGAGAGAGAGAGAGAGAGAGAGAGAAGAGTTAAACAGCAAAGAGATGTAATTACCCAATGAAGTGAAGGTGATAATGGCCCCTATCGCGTTTTTCAAGGCCAGGAGAATCGTTCCAGCAATCACTATAATTAATACAACCATGTAGATGAACATTGCAAACAGAGCCACTACCTGGAAAACGAAAATTCATAAATATCCATCTATTTATGTATGTGTGTGTATGTAGGCGCACACACTCACACATACACTTATACAACCTCTCACACACACACACGCATATATATATATATATATATATATATATATATATATATATATATATATGTATATATATGTATATATATGTATATATATGTATATATATGTATATATATGTATATGTATGTATATATATGTATATATATGTATATATATGTATATATATGTATATGTATGTATATGTATGTATATGTATATGTATGTATATGTATGTATATATATGTATATATATATATATATATATATATATATATATATATATATATATATATACATATATGCGTCATCAAGGGGCTAACGCCAACGGGGGCGTATGGCCGCATCCACCCTTTGCTTCCAGCCACGAGGGTCCCCCATGGCGAGTCTCCAGGCAGGCCCTAGACCCATCTCTAACTCCTCACGACAGGTCTCGTCGAGCTGCCCAAGCCATGACCTCCTAGGTCATCTCACGGGCCTCCTCCACCCAGGATTGTCTCGCAGAGAGATAACCTGATGGGCAAGGCCATCCTCAGTGAAACGAGCTAGGTGCCCATATAGCCTGAGTTAGCGATCCCGGATTATGCAAGTAACGGGTCCCAAGCCAATCTCACGATGTAGCCGTCGGTTAGACACATGGTCCGGCCAACTGTACCCCATGATCCGGCATCAAAACGAGATTCCAAGGCGCTACATAGCATCCAGGTTTCGCTTCCATAGAGCAAAACTATACTGAGAAGTGTAATGCCATGGTAGTTGCTACAGTCCCAACATTCCCCTTTCCCCTTCCAGAGGGGGATGACCACGCCCCTTAACAGGTCAGTAGGAATGGTACCAGACTGCCAGATGGCAGTCAAGACTGTAGTGCTTGTGGCTTTCCTACACTTCAGCACATGTCATCCTAACCTTGATTAGGGTAGGAGATTTTTCACTGATGGGTGGGTCTAGCACAGCTATTGTATACCACCTGCATCCAATATAGCTGTTGGAGGGACTATATGGTACAGCTGCTCAAAATACTTAACCCAATGTTCACAAAACCCAACATGATCTGAGATCATCTGTCCATCCACTGATCGGACTGCAGTCATCTGTGAGGAGGGCTTAGAGTTCAGTTTTCTCAGGGATTGGTAGGCAGGGCGAAGGTCATTTACCAAGAAATGCCTTCAATCTCAGCAAGATTCCTGATAAACTGTTCCTTGTCCCTTCTCAGTAGTGTCTGAGCCCTACGCACCAAAAAGTGATGCAAGTCCTGATTGCCATTCAGCCAAGCCATGTGGCATGCGGCCTCTAATGTCTCCAGGGAGATGGAATTTTGCCTAGTGTATGCCAATGGACTCCTGTGCTGCAGTGAGTGTTTTATGCTTGAAGGACTCCCACAGAGCAACTGGGTCTGTCTGGTTTTCAAGTTCTGCAAATTGATCAGAGACTGCTGTGGTGAACCCATGGGCACACTCCTCCCTCAGTCTGTCCAAGTGAAATACCCTAGAGTGGTCACTGAAGGGACAAGGAGTTTTGAAGTTGACCCATAGGATAGCCACTAAAAGCCTATAGTCAATGCAACAGACCTCAGTACTCCAGTAAACCCTACAATTCTAGAGGATCCTCCATCAAGTGCTGACAAGAATGTGGTCTATCTCCTTGACTACAGTATCCATATCACTATACCAAGTCCATCGATTCGGGTTGGAGCGTTGATACCAGGAGCCAGAAATCCTCATTTTCTGGGACCTAGCAAAGTCTTGGAGAAGGAGGCTGTTCTCATTGCTGGGATCAGCTCCTGAGCCATGGGGGACGACAGACATTTCGTAGCCAGCTTGATCACAACGGGATACCGCGTTTAAGTGGCCCAGAATAATGTTAACCCATTGCCGCCGGGGATGGCATGTACGTACATGCCATGCCCACTGTGAGT